CGGACTCTCTGATGAAAAATCACAATTTTTGCGATAACTCAGCAACCCCTCGACGGATCCCGCTCATCTTCGAACTCGACCGAGACATTGTTAAGACTGAACTGTGTAGAAAATTTCATCGCGATTGGACTCTGCTTTCGAAAGTTATCGTGTTAACGGACGGACGGACGGACGGACGGACGGACACACTGACCGATTTTAGTAGTGTACTCACTTTTTGAGTACACAAAAACAAAACGGTAAAATAAATGAATAGTTATTTTTCAATAAATAGTTTATATATATATATAATTTATGAAAGAAAATTTTCCTTGATTAATCAATTAATATGCATATTAAAAGATATATTTAAGAATAATTGAAAAGTTATGTTCATGGTCAATCTCGATTTAAAAGTAAATCAATCAAAAATCAATTTCGTCTAATAATACTTTGAGAAACTAAAAAATTTATTTGATACTATTAAATTAAATATGATTATTAATGTAAAACTGTTCAAGTTCAATAATATCTTCAATATCGAATGATATCAAATAAAAATCAATCTTTTACTGTTGTTTGATTTTTGTGTAACTGTAAAGAAAACAGTAAATAGTTGTTTTTGTATTCTATATTAATGTCTGATGAGAAAACAAATGAAATATATCAATTTTTCCATTTAATCGAGAATTTTACTATTTTATTTATGTAAATAAAAAATGATCAATTTAGTTTTTACTTTGGTAATTAATGTTAATAATAAAAATAAATCGACTTTTGTTTTTTAACGAAGAAAAAAAACGCAATGATAATCTTTTCCCCTTTCTTCTATTTAAAATATAGAAAAATCGAATAGATTAAAATAAAAACAAGTTATTTGAGTATAAATATATACATGATATGATATTTTAGTTGAAAATAAAATGTCATGATCAATAAAATTTATAAATCGTTCACATAATATTGAAGATGATCGACTAAATAAATTATTTCGAGGAAATCGATATTATTTATTATTATATATGAAATATATGGCTTGTATATTAATATTATATTATTTAGATTTAAAAGTTATATATGGTATGAAAAATCTTTTGAAGATTGATATTATTTAAATATGAAACAAATTGATGTAACAAAAATAGAAGAAATTATTGAAGGCATATTAGGTTTACTAAATAATATTCTTACAAATAAGTTTCTTATTAATAATGAATATTTATGTGGTTATTCACTCAGTCCAGAAAAAATTATTTAATCACTTTTTTACTTATATTAATTAAATCTAATTTGGAAAATTTTCAAAAATGTCGAGCTATTAGAATGACATGAGTTATTAAACATCAGTTAATGTATAAAAATTTTCAATTAGCATTTATTTTAGGTAACATCAATACTTACTTTTTGTTTTTATTTGAATTTAAATGAAAATTTTAAACTAGATTTAAAAAATCTGGTCTAAATTCGTGATTTTTGTGTACTCAAAAAGTGAGTACACTCTAGAATCGGTCAGTATGTCCAGCCGTTTACACGATAACTTTCGAAAGGAGAGTTCAATCACGATGAAATTTTCTATACAGTTCAGTCTTAACAATGTCTCGATCGAGAGAAGAAGATCCGTCAAGAAATGGCTGAGTTATCGAAAAAATTGTCATTATTGAGAAGGCCATCCCTGAGGGGGGATACAGGGACTTTTTCAAAAAAAAAAATTTCTCTCCGAATTCTTCACAACATATATAAATCGACTCAGTTTTTAACGGTGATTGAACCAAGTCGTAGCTTTCTAACAAAAAATCCCCCGAAAAAGGTCTCAAAATGCACAAAAACTACATGAAGAAAGCAAATAGTCTAGATATGTCTCAGATGATAAAAAACAAAGTGAATATACCTTTTCACTTTTTGAAGTAGACATAACAATCGGATTTAAATCCGATGTTTTCGCATTTCTTTTTAAATGACTTGAATTCAAGAGATATTTTCTTAATCTTTTTCGAAAAAACAATTTCCTATATGCCATCTATTTTTCAAAATGTATTTTTTACTGTTATAAGTGCTTTGTTTTATTCTCGATCATGCACTACAATTAATAATTAGTTTTTGATATTTTCATATCTTGTTTCAATGTTTAAGTTTATGTACTTAACTTGTATATCATCGTAACAACTTGTGTTCAAAATATCTTTCTAAACAATCGATAGAATACTGATGTTCTTTATAGAAACAATAAACTTTGTTTCTGAAAGCTTTTTATTATTTATTGATATTATACATGAGAGATTAAATGAAATAGATGAAACTATTTTATGCATATCCAGCAGTCAAAACCATATGATAAGTCCAGAAGCATCTTTTTCGACAAAGATATACGTTCGTTTATTTAATGATAAAAGAAGAATACGTTTTCGTAATTGTTCAATGAACAAACAATTTTTTTTCGATGCTAAATCAATATCATACGGACCTTGATGATAAAGACGCCGAAAACAAAAAGAAAAATCAAATAAGGTTGGTGCTATCTCTGCAATAATTTGACAACTTGCATCATCTGGAGGATTATGCATACCATATAAAAGTATACGTAATGACTTCAACAATGGTAAACTTGACAGTATACGTAAGTTAGTCAAATCAGCAGTTGCGAAATGAAGACATTCATAATGAACAATGATTTGAATAGATCGAATATTTAATGGCAATGATTTACTATTCAATCAATCTAAACTATCGACAAGAATAAGATGAGAAACATTCGGCAAATTCATCGAAATTTGTCTATTACATCGATATAAATGAAGTTCACGTATTTTATTTGAAGATACTATTTGTGAAAGGAACGTAATAGATGATGGAAGATTATCCGACATATTCAATTTAATCAAACGAGAAGAATTAAAATTCATAACTGGAAAAGATGGTGCAAATACTGTTAATTCACTAATACATCTATCTGGAACAGATAATTGGAAAAATTCATTAAATATCCATGGTAAACTGTAAAATAGATGTTGTCGAGTTTTAGGTTTTCTCGACTAAAACAAAAACAAAGTATTTCAACGAGTAGTCATAACATTGAAATAATCTTTAAAAAAAAAGAAAACTTACATAATTTATACCCGGAGTTGTAAATGGTTGATTATCAGACCAACAATCAGAAATAAATGTTGCACTAGCTATTTGACGAGAATATGATTGACTACTGCATGGTACATAATTAACAAGTTCTTCATGTAGACGATCATCAATAACAATAAAAGCATAATGAACATCAATATGACGAGAGTCTGTAAAAAGTGCTGAATTACGCATTTGAATAAGATCATTAACATCAATAACAAGAGAAAAATTCACTCGTCTTAAAACAGGCATTATATTAGAAGAAGTCAATAAATTAATAAATGCCCATTCTCCAATGGAATGCCAATTGAATGGTTTAACAAAAGTAAGTGTATGTAAAGCTTTCATTTCAGACAAAAGATGTATAGCATCCAGATTGTCTTGAAGACAAGACTTATGAACTAGTTTAATGTGTAATTGTTCTAATGTATGTTGTAATGGTTCAGTCGACATGATATTTAATAAAACATCTGCTGTATCTAATGTAATAGCCAAATAAAGTAAAGGTATTTGTATTGTTTTAAAAGGCCAATGATGTAAGAAAAAAGAAGATTCCATTCCTAAATCAAGTGAACGAAGAGCACAGGGATAATTCAGAATTTTATTGATGAATTCACATAAATTCCATGATGGATAACACAATTTTTTACCTATACCACACTTAACGAAATCCAAAATAAATATTAATCGAAAGTTGAAAATTTCTCTTTTCTTATCGAACCGAGTACCTGAGAGAGTAATTCTTTAATCCAAAAAAAGACATTTATATAGACGAAGATCTCTTACACAAAAACTAAAGTTTTTCATTTAACATTAATCTTTCATAAAAAAATAATATATATAAAAAAAAGTATCTGATAATTATTTAGAATAGAAATCTAAAAATCGGATCTAACTGATCTATATCGTTTGAAAGGCAAGTCTGATGAATAAGTTCTGATCAAATATTTTTCGTAGATTTCTTTTTGCATAGAACACAATAATGCGATCATGGAATATTTCAACTCATCGTTTTATACGTCAATAAATGCCTAACTACCAAGCAATAATAAGTACGAAAATTTTATACCTTTCCTAATCGAACTACTTTCTCGTGTGCATAAACTTCTTGAGCAAAAAGTCATGCGACATCAACCAATCTTTAGATGTGCACATTTCAAACACATGAAAAAAAACCGTTCCACAAGAGTCTACTTATCTTTTCTATACGTTTTATTAGAATTACTGCTACAATAATGTTATTTTCAACTATACTTACTGTTTCAAAATATCGACTTGATTCAACTGTCAAATAAATTAATGTAGTGACATGTTGTCGTACGAACTTATAAACATCAGCAAAGTCTCGTACACCCTTTACTTTTAATATTCTTAAATGTGGCAAATAAGGCCAACATTTTAGTTGAAGAGGTGATGAATAGCAATCAATGATAAGTGATTGAATTTCATTAAATCGAAGTACAGATGAAAATGTTTTGAATAGATGATATCGCGTTGATGATAAATTAACATGAAAATAAAAACCTCTTTCAGTTAATAACTTGGCCAGGCGAATATTGAAAAAGTAATCCATTCTATTACTAGTTAATAGTTGTTATTTCCTCGAAGAATCAATATAGTGTAAAGTTTGATGTTTAGTTCTTATTTATTTATATTAATAACCAATTAATTAACAAATTTGTTTTCATGACAATGTCTGAAGTGAACAATATTCTCAATGAATGAAGTTATTTTACAAATCAAAATAAATTTATGTTAATAGTTTAAGTAAATTTTGATTAACATTTATCACATATGAAAAAAGCATATCCTAATAAAAAATGCAGCTCAAATATTGATGAAATATACTTCATTAATATTAGATCTTAAACTAATAGGGTGTGGATGTGGGTATCAGCACAAGAGAATAAGACAATCACAATCTGCAGTGGCCTTTGGAATTCAGCTTTCATTTCGTGACGGAAGGGGAGGACAGTGGCTAGGCACTCAATGAAGTTGTTATTCTATATATTTCAGCAATCTCTTAGATCGATTTTCACAAAATTGTACTATTAATAGGGAACTAAGGCGAGTTTTTAAATATACAGGGGAATCAAAAGAATAAGGTAAATAAGAATATTTTATTTTGGATTTTTAAAAATGAGTCAAATCTAAAGGATAACTAGAAAACATCCATCATTTACATTTTTCGCCGGTACGAAAGATCAAAACAATGGATTTTTTAATCAAGGTTTATAGATATTAGGATCATTTTGAGTATAAAGAAGCTGATTTCTGTTAATCGATGGACTCAAACTGTATTGACCAACGCTCAGAATAGAGCCACTTTTCTAGATTATTCATTCGACCCAGATATTCGATTGCATAAGCAACCAATTTTACAACTTTCTTTTTTAGCATATTTTTTTAATATACAAATAAATAATAAATTTCCGCTCTTTTCATCGATTCTCAATGAAAGCAATTATAGTTGACAAGAAAATTTTTCAGTCGGCAGATAATGTATTAGAATAAAAAGGATGAAGGATATGTGTGAGTTCCACATTTCAGCTCCAAAGNTTTCATTAAATCGAAGTAAAGATAAAAATGTTTTGAATCGATAGTATCGCGTTGATGATAAATTAACATGAAAATAAAAACCTCTTTCAGTTAATAACTTGGCCAGGCGAATATTGAAATTATTGAAACACCATAAAGCATCTTCACAAGATAAATAAGAAAATATTTCTATCAACGATAGATCAGGCAAATCATTGAAAACAGTAACCATATTGTTATTGTATGAATGAACACGAGAAATAAGGACCCAAAACAGACTGAATTAATTCAAAGTGAATTAATCAATACAATTCGCGTTGCTATGCAAAAAAGGCCAATCGTGTTTCTTAATTCACTTTGAACTAGTCAGTCTGTTTGGACCCCTAAGACATTACTTTTTTTTCTTTTATATAGCCATTCATAAATATATTACATTGAGCCAAAACAGAATAGACAAGTTCAAATAGACAATTGAAATTTTAATATACCAATCGCGTTCCTTAATTCAATTTTATTTTTGTTAATGTGTTTGAGGACATTATCGGTGTTCATTTTTTGTCATTCTCTTTATTATGTTCGATAGCCAATGGAAACAATTGTTCACTATACACTAGCACTCAACATTGACCATACACCTGACAAATGATCCTGTTTCTTTAATATTTGAAGATGAGTTCAGGATATAGAATAGCGACTTCTGTCAAAATGCTGTTCGCTTGTCATAGTTTATTTAGTGAAAGTTTTTTTTTATCTTAATGAGTCGTATATTTGTTATATTAGACTAAAAATAGTAAAAATGAAGTTCTTTAACTTCGCTCAAGATTGGTCCTACACATCTCCAATAAAAGTAAATAGACATCGAGCAATTAAAAGGAAGTGACGTTTTTTCCATGGGCTATACTTCCCATTAGATTTTTGTTCTTTCAATTATTTTTTTATTGGGACTGATGTAAGGATACAAGATCACATAATCATTCCTTGGACATTTTTAGTATTAGCAAAAAATACGATATTTAAGGAATGAGTCAATTTCCATAGGAATTATCAAAAACACGGTTATCGAGCTCACATTTTTTTCATGAACAGCATTCATAATGCAGACAAAAGTCCTAAAGAAACGAGCACGACTAGATCCTTGTTTTCGAGATGTGCTAATTTTACTGTCGGATATTAGAAAAAAAAGCAATAGAATAAAATTTCAGTCTATGTTTTTTAACTGCAAGACATCTGAAGGTTTTTATGATATCTTGAAAGAATCAAATAAAGCAATGTATTTGTCTTTCGAGATAATATGCTGACAAAAAACATTACTGTCATGTTAAAACTCCTAAAATAGTCTGTTTTTCAAGAAAGAAATGTGTTAAAAAGAGATCATCTATTTGAACTGGAAATTTCAGAGAAGATTTTTTATTACTTTTTTGTCTCATAACAAAATTTAATAGACTGAAAATGTTGAAATTAAGACTAATTTTTCAATTTTTTTTTTGAAAGAGTTTTTTATTTATACTATGTGTTCTGTTTATGGGCGAATTTTAAGTCGATATCTATATTCTACTCTTCTGAACTAGAAAAACTTATTAATCTTTATATATTTCGTTTACAATATTAAAGGAGAATCATTTGTTTGATCAATTATTAAATAACTTTACATCAAATTTTCTGAACTAATAAAATGAGTGTGGTTTTACTTATATTTTGAATGATTCTAGCGATTGAACTTTTAAGAATTTGTCCATCGATAGCAAAGAGCAAGTAGATCATCAATTTTCGTAGTTATAAACTGTAAAAATCAAATCACAAATTTCCTTGCAAAAACAACTGTTCTATCTTTGAAAATTTGCTCTTATATGAGGTGTGCTATACGTATGTTTCTCTCAATCAATAGCAAATCAAATTGCTGTCATGATACTAGCAATATTTTGTACGTTCTTCGGATGAAAAGAAAATTGTAAATAAACTTATACTACTAACCAAAAAGTTAAGACTGTTTGGCGAAACTCTTACGAAAATATTTCATTATGATATTTTAGTGAATCATAAATTTGTTTCATTCACTTTATATTTAATGTTTAGACATTTAGATAGAGAAGTAATCGGATCTTATTAATCAAACGGCATGCATAAAAGAAAAGACTTCAACATATTTTAAGTGATATGATGTTTCTTGTCATCTTATATAAACATCAAAATCATCATTGAATTATCTATTCTAATCATATGCATAAATATTATTTCTTACTTTGAATTGCTTATATAAAACAATGGCAAGAAAATACAAAGTTATTACGAACAATTTAATATACAACATTGAAAGAAAATGAAAACTATAAGATATTTTGAAAAATGTTTATTACAAACAAATAATATGACACATAACAATTAATAATATACATTTTTCTTTTCTCTATCTTTTTAAAACTATTTAGCTTTACGAGCATTTGATCGAGCTTGATCATAAATCTTTTTTAAATCACTCGTAAATCCATCATAACATAAAACACCTTTTTCATCAAAATAACTGCCTACAGAACTAATTAATACTCCTGATGAACCCATTGATTTATTTGTACTTTCGTTGTATTTCAAAGTTAAATAATACTTATCATCATATCTAAAAATTTTTAGAAAGCAAAATAGTTTTTACTATTAATTGATGCACTATCTATAATCAAATATTCACTTTTTTAATTTACAACTTATTATACATCGTGATCCGGAATTAAGACCAGTTTTATCAACTAAAATAAAAAAAAACAATACATTTAAATTTAATTATGAAGAAAGGACAGTAGAACATTTACTCAGTTTGCCATTAAAAAATCTACGACGTTCAATAAAGTACATATATAAGTTAAGAATACTGATAAGAATGAAATATCTAGATGCATATTGAAAAATTTTATTTTTCATATGATAATCGTCTTTTTGCATCTTACGAGAGTACACAAACAATCAGAACTGTGCGAGATTAGGATCCATTAATGAGTTATCTTCTGAAAAAATTTAGAGTCTCTTTGAAATACTAAAACATTAGAATTATATACTTGAATTGTTGATAATAATTCAAATTAACCATACCTTCTTACATGCATCATCTAATGCATTTTTTAGGGCATTTCTGTCCCATTTATTAACTTTCACTGGTTTGCCAAAAGCATCATTTGTTATTGCCTACGATCAAAATATATTTATAGAACAAGCCGCTTTTTATTCTTTCAAAGCAGAATTCTTTGATGAACTTATAACATTACTCATTTTATTAAATCTGAAAATACGAGAAGAGCGGAAATGATTCATTAGACAATAATTGAATTAACGTGCTAACTGATCTTTCACAACTTCACTTTTCTGAAATTCTTCAGACTATGCACACCAGAGTCAATTGACTTAGTCCCCAACTCGATCGAGTACGAAAATATTGGACTCCATGAGCTGTAATGAACACTACAACTCAATATTAAAATCTATTTATTCATATAAAACAATGTGACATGGCTGCTTGCGAAATAAGATCGTCATAATTCACGAGGGAAATTCTTCAACTGATTAATCATGTATGAACAGAGGCTGCATATCACATCGATAATCCTGGATAAAGGTTCTGGCTCTTGTCTTATATTCTGGAAGATACTACATTCTTCAGTCAAAACAATTTTCCAATCGGAAAATATGATTTTCGAATTTTGACTTGGAACTTTACATATAGAGAAATCTGAATAGGAATAATTATGAACACTGATGATGGTTTTACTGTTTGCATCCTAAGAAATAGCTATACTACAAATATGTCTTTTTTTCTCGCTCATAGGTATTAGCAGATTTGACATTCTTATTTTAAGATAGGATTTATTTATGAGGTCTAAAATTTCTTACAATAAACTGCTCTTAATAAGATCTCTGACTGGAGAAAGTTTTCAGTCGAAATTCAAAAATCAGATTTTCTGATGTCTATGAGAGAAATTATACTATTGAGGGTGTGGGTTGTACCATTTCTCTTCATTCACACCCACCCACACTCCATATTAAAAAAATCCTATTAATTCACAGTTATAAATTGTTCGATTCATAGATATAACTCGTGTAGTCATATGATAGATAATATATACTTAAACACAATAGTAGCAGTTAAATAATAACAATTTTGAAGAAAAAATATATTTTCCATGATACTCTTCATCATTATTACAGATACACCTTTAGGTATTGATTGGTGATTTAAGTACGTAGAGTGTGTACGCATGCTGATTTAAAACAAAGATAATGCTGTTTTATTGTTGTAGTGTGTTTTCGGCCTATGTCATTTATATAGATAGTGTTCTCATTCTGTACTTGTACCGTCAGTCTCTATACTGACGACGCGAACATTACGAACTCGGTCTGAACGAGCGAATGATAACGAACGCATTTCAACTGCGTTTTTGCTCATTCTGTCGTTGCGAACACAATTTTTCACCGTTCGTCTAGACCTGGGAATACAGTTCATAAAATATTTGTGCATTTCTGTTAGTGATCGTAACTGCCAATAGACTTGATATTCTTTGTTTCATTGTCTGTATGAGATAAACAACAGCAAAAGTAAATAACCATCAAATTATTTGTTTTATTCTTTGTAGAATTGCTGCATATTGTTCTCATTTTAAATTATGAACATAAATTTATCAATAAATATAGTAGTTGATTATTCTATGATATATTTATAGTGATATTCTTTTCTTCAAATATTCTAAGATTTGTATTTTCCTATGATCGTCAATCCAAAAACTATAGTGAATAACAAGATAAGTCAATCATTTTATTTTGCATACAAAAATATGATTTCTACGACGGAAATTATTAAGGGCTGATATAGTTCCTTTCTCGCTGAAACCCTCATCAAGTCAAATTTAAGAATAAGATAGGAAATTATGTTTCATGAAAACTGTCACAAATCTATTTTTTCTCTAATTCGAAAGTATTGTATTCATTCAAGAAGATAATCAAGAATTCAATACTTTATCGAATGAATACCAAAAAATAAGGAAGGATTATTTCCTGTTCTCGTAAAAATATTCTGGTCTCTGAATACTAATAGAATGAAGTAATATTACGTAAAGTAAGAACAGATATTCCTAAGGAATCAGAGATCTTTGATTTGTTCGCTTTGACACAACTCAAAATTTTCCAACACGGTTAAAATAAATTAAAAAAATTGATCAAACAGACGTAAGTCGATATTACAATCAATAGTAAATAAAAGATTCTATGTAAAAAATGGTTAGGTAAAGCGATGCGTTGTTTTAGTCAATGTAATAAATTGCATTTGTTAACGATTGATTAAAATGCTGTTATAATCAGATTGAAGGAATAGAAGAATGGATCTGTTAAAACACAATTTTCCCTAGATTTTTGACCATGATAAATGTGTTAAATAAAAGAAAAACAGCGAATTGTCCTAAAGCATGAATTTCATATTTCTGTTTGTTTGAGAATCTTTTGTTGAGAAAAAATGAATCTGAGGTTTAACTTGATGATAAACAGTCGAAGTATCATATAATTTCGATTAATAAATATGAAAAAATTCTAAAAATGAGAAAATATGATGAATTTAATATACAAAATGTTCTTTTATTGTTTAATTCAATACAAATAGAAACAATATGTGACTATTACTTTAGTTTTCATTTATTATGAAATATTTTTATCTTATGTTAGATAAAACGATACTAAGTCTTGAACATCGTAAGTTTTATTCTTTTACGTTGAATTAAGTTTTAGAAAAATTTTTCCATATAAAAGAATAAAAATATTAATTCTTGATCTTATCGAACTATATTATATTTATTTATTTTTTTTCTAGATTATAGAATTATAAAGAACATCTTTTGTGCTGGTAAATTAACTTCGTTAATTCAATTGATCCACAAGCTACTAATTTCAGTAAAGAAGTTTGATATTTTTTCTGATGAATTTAAATATTTTAAAAATGTCATTAAAACATGTTCAGTTGAATTTGAGAAAACAAAATAAAAACTATATTTTATCACAAATATGATGGTAATAAGCAGTTGAGTATCCCGTAGTTCATCAGACCTTGGCATGTAAAAATATTTTTTATTTTTTTTAAATGTTATTTATACAAAAGCATAGAGTTGAAAATAAATTCGATCATAATCGAACAATTAGATATATTGAAGAACAGATTACAAAAGTAGAAAGCAATATTGTTTTATTAAGAGAATTTGTTTCTATTAAAGATTTGTTGAGATCAAGAAGTAACTGAATAGATGGAGAGGCAAATGAGAATCTATTTTCATGTTATGGAAAGTTTGAGTATACATATTAATGAGTATGATGTTTTGACATCGATACTAATGTCCGTTTCAAAATATAATGCGTCCCACTGTTTTTTGAATAATTCAAGAACGCAATCAGTGAGAGACTTGCGGTTTTCACCAATCGAAAGAAAAGACGGGAGGGCGTCTTTTTCTCCAATATCGTATCAGACGGAATCATTCTGAAACCAGTCATTTCTGCATAACATCAAAAAAATGGTCTGTCATTCAGATAAAATTTTGATAAAAAGTTAAAAAAATTTGCTTCAAAATGAAAAGAAATTCATAGTTTTCTTCCGAGTAAAGAGACGATTTTAATTGCTAAACGTTAGGATGCGGTAAGATAATCATTCGAATTATATCCTGACGTATAGATCCGAAGTCCCTCTATCTATATCACATGTCAAAAGGAAAATTTCTTCGAATGCTGGGTCATTTTTTGCAATGTTTTACAGAAATGACTGATTCTAAAATGATTTTGTCTGATACAATATTGGAGAAAAAGACGTCCCCCTGTCTCTTCTTTCGATTGGTGATAACCGTAGATCTCTAGCTGATTGCGTTCTTGAGTTATTCAAAAAACAGTGGGACGCATTTTATTTTGAAATGAACATTACATTTTACGTTCGGAACAAGGAAACATATATTTAGCGAATCTTATCGACTTTGAAAAGTAGCAAGGTATCAGATGAATTCTCAATCACTTATTTTTTCTGGTAGCTGAGATGGTTTTTGTTGCTACTGTTTAGATAAGAAATTCAACAGTATAATTTCTTATATCAGATAGAACAGTTCAAACCCTACTATAACTGTGAAAGTATTTGTTTGATATTAATTATCATCGATCGGAGTCCGATTCCGTACTGAGTACAACTATCCTGATCCAGGTAAAAAATGGTCGTACCGTGCACGACGTTAGTACACATTATTCATGTAGAAATGCAATAGCTTCTAGAGCGAGTACGCAAGTCAATATGCTTGGTTCAATCTATTTTGTCATGACGTATTGGATAGGATTATTTTCGTGTTAAAGTCCAGTCAAGAGTTTTCTTAAATCAATTAAGGCTGATAGAAAAGATTCCTTCGAAACGAAAGACAGATAAGTCACTTTTTTTTCATTTATTTCTAATGTTAACATCTTAAAGTTAACATTCGAAGTACGAATATTCAATATTTGAGCAATTACTTTTTTGTCAATCTATTAAATATGATTAAATACAAATTAACGAGATTAGTAAAAATACCTTTATCATCGTATTTTTTGAAATGCACATTTTTTTATTCTGAAAGTCAAAGATACTTTTTCGAGTGAAAAAATGTTTGCTCTTCATGTAGATGACAAAAAACTAATCTTTGAATTTATTATAAACAACTGAATCTGTTTTATTAAATTTAAAGTACGTTTTATATATTCAATTTTTAAATGTATCAGGTATTTACTATGAAGAAGATTCATTCAGGAAAAATTGTTAACTGAAAAACCTTAATTCTTTTTTTTGTTGATAGATTCTTGAAGAAAATAATAATAATAAATAAATTCTTGCTAAACCAGTCAAGTATTTATTCAGTGTTGTATAAAAAATTGTTTGAGCTTTGAATTCTTATTCTTTTAATGATCGAATTTGTTGTTTCTTCATCCGCTGAATGAGAATTTTGTCAAAATATTTATGAATTTCGACTTTCGTCTTGTTTTTAATTAATTTTATTTACGGCATAATTATTTTTCATTCTGCTCTTGTCTCTAAGGCTTGCAGCTCCAATGAAAACTTCACCAATGATATGCTCTTGAATACGAAGTTACAAAAGATATCTGTTCAAAATTAATAAAAAAAGAAGCAGAAGAGTTGAGTAAGAGTATGTTATTCTTATTTTTTTCCAGAACTTATTAACGAAGAAAAACAAACAAGTTTTTTCGGTAGTTTTGAGTTAACATTTTTTACTAAACGAGGGTAGACGTGCGGGTGTGGGTACGAATGAAAAGAAGATTCAGTGATACACTCACATCCATTGTATTTCGGATATTAACCTAATTAATATGACATGGTAACGTTAGCAAATTAAGATTAGAAATGAACGAAAGAAACTGTGTAAATGATTTCGATGGACACATGGGAAAAAACAATGACGAATCTATTTTCTAATTCTGAGAAGAATTGAATGAATACGTAACGACTAAGACATCCGAGTGTCTAAGATCAATCAATCGTCGCCATGTAAAGTGTCGAAATTTGAGATCTATCAGTGAATTAGGATTAGAATTAGTTCATAGCATCTTTGATAACTGGACAAGTTGTCTTGCCTATTACATTTTATAAGTCTTGACTTTTTTCAGGGTTTATCAAAGTACATCTAGTTTATTTTAATCTACAAAAACATTCATCAATAAACTACAAATATTAAACAAATTATATTGATATGAATAAAAGAAAATTTCAAGAGACATTGATTTCAACAGAATATAATGTTGACAACCAAGTAAAAATAATGACTCATCAAGATTCTGCATCTCTTTTAACATTACCCGTTGAGCTTGTTCATATGGTTTTTGATAAGCTGAATGATTTTATAATTATATGTTCACTTCGTAATGTGTGTACACGACTGAATATGATCTTGGATACTTATCCTCGGTATCAGGTAAGTTGTAGAATTTTTAAAAGTTCAGATTTCTTTTCATTTCAAGGACGAATTAGTTTTACGGTCGGTTTTATATTAGTAATAGTCCTTTGAAAATATTTTAGTATTATTATTGATCATTATCTAAAGAAAAGACTCATAAGACTGTTAGCTTTTTCAAGAGATTTTATATCGCTAATTGTCTTTTTTTTTAAATAAATTGAAGATTTTCGAAACAAACTTTACTCTTCCTACGATATATACAGGAAAGTATCGTTCAGATAAATTCAATTGAAAAATCACAGAATGCATCTTGTTAATTTTAATGAATTTTATACTTCTTAAATATTGACAATCGAGACATTTACAAAAGAAACCAAACTGTAGAACTATAGTAGTTCCGATTCTATAAATTGAAACACCGCATTGCCCATGTGAGAACGGTGGTTTTTCTGGAAGAAACTCGAATGCATATTGAAATATGAAAGAATATATGAGGATGACTAGGTTATTGTGGCCAGCTTCTTCTATCTAATTTTCGAATATTATTCAAATGATTTACTTGACTATCAAAAGCGGCTTTGGCAAAATAGGACTTGAGGCAGTTCATAACTTTGCCTCCAGAAGAAAACTATACCTGAAACCTTCAACGTTCAACTTATCAGCGGTACACCACAGTCGCTCGACTATGGTGTTGAGCGAAAAATTATTCGGAGAAAAACTGTGGTGAGTAACACTGCAAAAGAGCATGCTTTTTCTCGAAATATTTTTCCATGCGAACGTATTTGAAATCTAAACGAGCAATTCTTGAATCATAATACTTCCATAGTGAAACTGAAAACAGTAAAATTTCTATATTTCCTACAAGACATTGGAACGAAAGTTGTATTTTAAAGTTCATAATTTGATAATGCCAATTTTAGTTTCATTCTAAAATATCTAATATTTTTTACACAACACAGATCCTTCCATTTTTAGTATCAATTAGCAAAGAAAACGTTTTAACTTTTTTATTCATTTACTAGCACTATATCGAAAACTATATTCTTTTAAATAGGAACTCACCACTTTGTTTTTGTGGAAGAAGATCGTTGGATGCGACCAAATGAAACATTTGGTTAACGCACTGCGAAATAACTCGGTAAGACTGATCTGTATCTTAATCTCTCACGCATGCTTATCTATATTTTTTCACACAGGCACTCACCACAATCCATCTCAATGACTACAAAATAGGTGATGTAGAATTAAAACACTTAACAAATGTATTAAAAAACAACACCGTAAGAATCCTCCATTCTTAAGCTATTTTATATCACAGCCTGCATTGTTATACACAGACACTAACCACATTTATTCTCAATGCGGATTGTATCGGATTCGATGGAGCAAAACATTTTGCTGATATATTACGAAATAATAAGGTGAGCCCCATTCTCAGATTCGCTTTCTCATGCCGTCGTTTGAACTTTTCCACACAGACACTCATCACACTCGATCTGGGCGATGCTGGAATCGAAGAGGGAGGAGCACGACCTCTGGCTTGTGCATTGCTCGATAATACGGTAGGTCTTATTATCTAGGTGTCTGTCTTATATAATTCTCTGCATTTATTTACATAGACACTCACCACACTGAATTTAGCACATAATGATATTTATAATGATGGAGCAAATCATCTGGCTTATGCATTGAAAACTAATAAGGTAAGTCTCATTCTCTATCAAACTATCTAGTACCGTTCTCTGTATTTATTCACATAGACACTCACCACATTGATTCTAGAAGGTGCTAAGATTGGAAAAACAGGAATAGCATCTTTGGCTCACGCGTTACGAAATAACACGGTAGCCTCTGATTCTCTCTTTATTTTTGTTAAAATCGTATTTTGGTTCCTTTCACGCAGACACTTACCACACTTGATCTCGGGCATAACGATATGCAAGATGAAGGAGCACAATATCTGGCTGATGCATTGCGAACTAATAGGGTAAGTCTCATTCTCTATCAATCTGTATAATATCATTCTCTGCATTTATTTACGCAGACACTCACTACACTGATTGTGTATAGAAATTGTATTGGATATATCGGAGGGAAATGTCTGGCTGATACATTACAAGATAACACAGTTAGTCACATTTTAGCTTTCACTCTAGAATATCTTTATTCCACAGGCACTCATCACACTGGACATGGCAACCAACAATATTAGTGACAAAGGAGCACGACATCTTGCTCATGCACTACGAAATAATACGGTGAGACTGATTATCTATTAAATTGCTTCATGTAGTTTTCTGCATTTATTTACATAGACACTCACAACCTTGAATCTAGGATATAATGGTATTGGAAATCGTGGTGCACAACATCTGGCTGGTGCATTACGAAATAATAACGTGAGCATGATTCTCCATTAAATTGCTTCATATAGTTTTCTGCATTTAATTACATAGACACTCACAACCTTGAATCTAGGATATAATCGTATTGGAAATCTTGGAGCGCAATATCTGGCTGGTGCATTGCAGAATAATACAGTGAGTATCGTTTTCTTTTCGTGTTTTTACATACATCATTGTCCACTATTTCTTACAGAGGTTAATGACACTCAATCTGAAGTTAAATGAAATCGGCGATGAAGGAGTTGAACATTTTATTATGGCATTACGGGAAAATAGGGTGAGTGTCATTCTCTATTGATCTTTACGATATAAGCAGTTGTATTTTTTCTAACAGACACTGACAACATTGCAGTTTGACTGGTACCGGATCGAACAAAATCTGAAAGATCGTTTACAGAACCTGATAGAATATAATTAAAAACGTAGAAATTGTTGAACATAGATATTTCTGATGGTTTGTTAAAACACTGAATGGTCATGTAGAATATTTGACTGCTTGTTTCTTTTGTGGTTTTGAAAAGACAATAAAGCTTTTTGACTTTTTTATTGAAAAGCTCAATGATAATGGTTCATAGTTATCAATTCGAATTTTTTGAGAAAGAGTGAACACATGTAAATGATATTTGTGATCTCATCCTGCATATAAGTGCTTTGTACCAGAGACCGTCACAGGGCAGGGCAGGGCAAAAGTTTTTGCCCTGCTCTCAAGAAAAAAAAGGGAATGAAAATCTCATGTCATTTGAATTTTTCTGATTATAAAATCGGTTAAAATGGAAATATTTTAATTCAATTTTTATCTAATTGTATGATATTCAATTTATTCTGTCCAAATAAAACGAATCTTTTAAAGACAGTTTTAATGAATCAAACCTTATTTCTCAATTGAAATTAATTAGCACTGCAGTTGAGTCTTTTTTCTCTATTGCATATGTTCAGAAGTCTCGATATGATATTATTTTCTTTCTCAATTTGTTCGTGAATATGAAGAAAAGCATCAATTCAAGAAAGTCAATTCAAGAAAGACTTTTCAATCAGAAAATTCCATTTTAATCTACTCAATTAGAAAGCAGTTCAACTCAACACAACACTCTAAAAGAGTAACAGATTATCTTTTATTAGAAGACTACCAACTAGCGATGTTGCAAGACGTAATGTACGACTCTGAATTTGTATTTACTTTCGAGTTTTGTAGTGTTGCTACTGTCAAACACAGTAAGCTTGCTGTATCTATCTTGACTTTAAAAAAAAATTAATAAAACTGCAATTTTTATTTTGAAAAACAAAGATAAAACAACGAACAAAGGAACATTTTTTTCTGTGATAGATAAATCGACACACATCTAGTATAAGAATCGGTTATATTGATGAATATTCGCTCTTATCAACAAAATCACTTCAGCATGCTATAATATTAAAAATTTAAGTTGATACACGAAAAAACTATGCAAAAAGGGTCATTGTATATTTTATATACATCTAGTATCATCCCTTTTTTGTGAAGTGTTTGATAAAGGTTAAATGATTACATTATTAGAAAAAAAACGTTTTCTTTTTAATTTTCAATTTTAACTTTATGTTATAATGATGAATGTGAAAAATTCTTCATCCTTAATTTTTAAATAATACCAATTTAATTGTTTTATTTATATTTATTCTTTATTCTTCATTGTACACAAATATAATGTAACATCGCTAGTCAGACACGCAATTGTTTTTAGATGACATAGTGAGTTTGACTGTAACATTCTTTCAAATTCAAATAAATAAAATATGCCGCTAAGTTTTAAAGAAATAAGATAAGCTTTACAAAGACTTTAGATCTCATAATAGATATACTTGATTTAGGAACTTTGTTATAACTTGTCATGACCTATATACCCTAAGAGCAGAGCATAAAAAAGCCTCTGTGACAGTCTCTTATATTTTCTTTGTTATGATTGATAAATATTTTTCTGGATGTATATTTTGCTTTACTGTGGCTTGTTTATCACAATCTATAGATCTTTGTGATCAACAGGCTTTTTCATGATAATTATCTGTTTTTTGCGATGATTTAACGTTCTTGATGAAAATCTTCATTGTTTTTCTTTCCTCACGTTTATTTTAACTTTAAAAGCGTCTATATTAAGGGTTACATTTTTTCGAGAGTACGTAAATATAATATGAATACTTGGTTTGAATATAGTCACAAAGTTTTTTATTGATATCTTCTGTCTTTTAAAAATCTAGTTCAACTTTTACGCCCTGCTCTGCCCTGCCCTACAGAACAGGGCTGAAAAAAATGACTTATGACGGTCTCTGTTTTGTACTTCCTCAATGTTCTTTATTTCGTATCCTTAAAAACAATTCAAAGTAGTTAGAGAAATGTAAATGTCATATGGAGCATTAGTCTCAAGTTGTTTTTGGTATTGTTGAACATGTGGGTGTGGGTGTGCGTAGGGTATTCTGGATCAATTATACATGGACATCTACACCCACACTCACACCCTACTTAATCTCTCTGTAAATTCTAACCGTTACGAAGGAGCAATACATTTGAGCAGTGCATTACAAGATAATACAGTGAGCTTGATTCTTCCTTCATCTATTCAACATTCTCAATTTGCATTTCTTACCAAGACACACACGACCATCGGTCTCATTATAAATGACGTTGATATAGGTGGAGCTCATTGTCTAGCTGATGCATTGGAAAATAATACGGTGAGCCTCTTTGTTGGTTCAGCTTTTTGCTATCTTTACGCGCACTTATGATACAGACGCTCACCACACTAGATTTACCATGGAAATATGTAGGATTTGTGCAATATCGTGCTTCAGAACTGATCGACCGAAATAGAAGACAGAGTCAATTATCAAATGTACAAATGGAGAATGTGAAATAAGGCGGCATCTTTTAAAAATACTTTCAGAAAAAATATCTTATTTTGACTTTGACTTTTATGTTCATAATAAAATATATTAAGTATGGTTCTGAATCAAAAAACCTGTACGAGACAATTCCTCCATAACGACATCCACACTCATACCGAATGTTTACATCAGAGATGTGCACCACAAACGTCAAAGTAGAACACGAAATGAAGACGCCCGCACCGCTTTTATGTCAAGTAAGATTTATCTTTGGACGGTTGTGCTTTAAATCATTTAGACATCAAATATTTTTTGACGTTTTAGTCCGAAATGTTAGATTTTTCATATGGAATTCCTCAAAATATAACTTGATATGATTCTTGTTTAAAAATACGCTGAAAGAAAAAATTTTCCAGAGAAAAATCGCATGAAAATAAGCAATAGTTTGCCAATTTTCATTTTTAAAATTCTTTGAAAAAGGAAAGTTTGAATAGTAAATTAAATTAAATCTTGGGTGTGGGTGTGGGTGTGGGTGTGGGTGTGGGTGTGGGTGTGGGTGTGGGTGTGGGTGTGGGTGTGGGGTGTGGGTGTGGGTGTGGGTGTGGGTGGGGGTGGGGGTGTGGTTGTGGGTGTGGGTGTGGGTGTGGGTGTGNCGAGAAGTTGTGTCCTAACAAATATTCAGGAACAGTTTAGATTCTAACGTTAGCATGCATATCTCTTCTAATAGAATTCATCAAAATACTTCTTTAATGACTACTTGACTTCAATCAAGTTTAAAGAACCTCAACGCTATTAATACAGAGTGGAAATAAAAATTGTCCTAATGTGGAAGACGAAATGAAAGGACTATCGGAGATTGAGAAAACAGAAAAAAGTACATTTTTCAACAATTTCTGATGGCTTTACTGAATTTTCCTTCCAAAAAGCTAAGAAACAATGAAACAGAAACAGATGAAACTAATCGTGAATATTAGCCATGTTCAAACATCAATACTTGTTGTGATAAAATATGGAATCGTCGAAATACAATCCTTGTGAACATTTATGTCTCTCTCCTTATTCTAGTCAAATATTTTGTCTTCCTGTTGAAAGTGGTTGTGATGATACTGTTGATTATTGTGAAACGATGATTAAACAACATTTGTGCCGGTCACAATAGTATTCTCTCAATCCTGCAAACTGATATCGAGTATAGTTTTTGATTTTTTGGAAAATAATACAAAAGTGGCACTATTAATATTGAGGTTTTAAGCGTTTAAATTATAATTCAAAGAGAATGTCTATGAGATACAACGATGACCATCAGATCAATAAGGAGGAAAAAATCTCATTTTTATTGTATAAACTTTTGAAAGAATACAAAAATAAAATCTTTTTAAATACATCATAAAATAATTAACAGGCGACGACAAGATTTAGCGCCAAATGGATAAATATTCTTATTTTAAAGAGTTTGTTCATATTTTTTTGAATTAATGTCAATAATTGTAGCAATTAATGGATTGCTCACTAGAATAAGATCATCACACAGTCTATTGACATAACTAAAAATATGTTTGCCACTATCAATAGCCGACCAGGCACAAACAACACCCGAAATAACTACACCCACAACAGCTGTGGTAGCAGTAAGTGCAATGCGTGCACCTCCCGTTATGGCAACTGCAGCTGGTGCAGCTGCCCGAATAATATCGTCAGAGAACGGAGCACCGGCCATAAACGCTCCACCGACTGCTGCTCCCAATGAAGTCGTGCTTGATTTTGATTTCATCATTGTTGCTGTAACACAATTTTCAAGCGTTGATGTTTGCAAACAACCTTCATCAATAGTTAGATGAAATTGAGTTAAATATTGACGAAGATTTTTTGTTATACCAAATGCTTGTCGAATATGATCTCTTGCAAGATAACGTGGTAATTGATCACCGAAGGGTACAACAGCAGCAAATCCAGCTCCAATTTTATAATTAAATACATTCAGAACATAGCCACGACGAAAACATACATTGATGACACGAGCCAATACTCTCATTGCTAATGCATGAATACGATGATTACGTGCATCGAATGCTAAACGACTTAGTTCATCAAATAATATTTTCATATCAAATGATTGATCGGTCAATAATAGTTCAGCATCAGAACTTGATGGCATATAATCAGCTGCTGTTAGATAAACCTGATGTGATTCAACCTCATTATCAAATCTTAACTGTTCAATAATTGTCGGTGTGAATTGATTACGTTGTATTGGCGTACTCTTACCAAAATATATACCTGAACGCTCACGAAATTTAACCAAAAAGTCAATATCTACTTTGGATCGTACTAAAATGCAATGTCGTTTTAATGTCTGTTCAATATAAGTAATCCAACCATGTTGTTCATAACGAAGTTTTTCATCAAATACTAATATATAAATATCACAATCAGCCTTACGAATTT